TCAATTAATCATATATATGTATATATACATATATACATATATATGTATATATACTGTATACAAGTAATTTCAACATTACCTTGTTCCAGCTTCCACATTTGATGATTTGCTGAATATCTCTGGGTTTGGATTTTTTTCCTCTGACGAAACACGACATTTGCTGATGTTGCCATAATAATCATTAGTTGCAGCTTGCTTGGACATTACTCGCAGGGTGTTTTGCAGGCACAAAAACAGTTCATACATTTTACATTTTGAATAAGAACACACATAAAACTATATTTAAGAACACTACATAGCACCACAACTGCAGGGAATCCTACATACACAATATTTCTTTTCAGGTTCACAAAGGACTTTAGTATTAATTCCTCTGTGTATTAAATATGCAAAAACCAAAATGGCCTCACACTGATCATATTAGATAACAACCACACAAAGAGGTCAAAATCTGACAGTGGGTATGAAATGAGTAAGACAGGAAATTATCAGTTTAATCTCAATCTTCATGCCTCTTGTTTCTTCACACACATTATTGGTCCATCACATGGTTTGTATTTTCTTTGCTGCTCTAAAAAGTACTTCAAACATCTGTTGTTAAACTCACGTTAGAAATGAATGTGATCTGGCCGAACACTGACCGAGCCCCACTCCTCCATTTTGAGTCTCAGATCGACACAGATCAGAAGACACTCAGGACAACTGGTGTGAGGAAAACTATCATGTACCAAAACCTGGCTCTGAATGTCTGGCTTCATAGTCTTCTTTGCTTATTGCCTTGATTTAAATCATCATTTCTTTAATCCAGGACTAGATTCAACATATAGCATAAAATATCCATCCAAAAACAGCAACGCTGGAACAAGGAAATCTTGAACTGTGACTTATTAATATATATAATTTTATATATCGACAACTGATTAATTGACTTATTGTTTCGGCCCTAAAAAAAAAAAAAAAACAAGAATAAAGCAATCTGTCCTCACAGTATGAATTATGACCCTGAGCCACTTGTAATGACAACATCTTTCAAGATAAATCTAAATAAACACCAGTGTGGATCAAACTGCTCTGTGCTATTGTGCTCTGTTACCTCCCCTTTGGTTCAGCTGAGCAGCTGGTTTTATCACCACCTGCTGAGTGGGGGTCACCTCGGGTTGTGCATGTGCAGACGCCTCTCCCACATGTTGGCCCCTCTGTCTGGACAGGAGGAAGTGAATCCCACTGAGGGGCAGGTTCACACAAGACATGAAGCCAAACACACACTAACATGCATTTACAGGCTGTATTATAATGTGGTACTAGAATGTGAAGTATTAAAACTACTGCGCTCTTTACTCTAGACTCTTTCATCTTTTGGCTTTTACTGTAGTGTAGTCTTCAGAGGAATAAGAGGAACTAATACTTTGCTTTACTTTTTTTTTTTTTATCTAGAAGTGGTTGCATTTCACAAGTGCATCAGGATCCCTTTTTAATTATAGGCTGTGATATTTTGGAAGAAGTATTAAAACACAAAGTCACACTGTGTAAACACATGAACATGAACTCACTCCGTCTGTCCTAATGTGTCTGTGGCTGCTGGACATAGGAAAGAAACATATATATGAGTCATAGTAAATGAGGCAAAGCATCACCTGTGGTTACACTAATGGCCAGTGTGTGATGTATGAACAAAGGACCAACTACAACAACAACACAGGACACTGAGCAGATATCACAGCCACACAATGCAGGAAAACTGTAGGAACATCACATGTGATGAATATAAGCCACACATTGTGTTTGCTTCACTGCTGAGAGCCACAAATGAACATCAACCCCTGTTAGTGATGTACCGTGAATTTTCACACTCAAAATCACAATTTCATGCAGAGATCAGACAGTAAGCGAGAATACGGGAGTAAATGTCCCTGAAGCAACACTAAATATTTTAACAGAGAATCTATATCAAACAGTGTCAGCGCGGACGACCCCCCGAGACAAACCAGCACCGCCGAGCACAGTCTGCATCATGAACACAGTCGCTGTTATTTTCCACAGTCTGTTTTAATGGCTCACTGGGACTCGGGTCGGAAAGTTGCAGAGAACACACAATACGACAGAAGACACACTGAGTGTGTTTATGAACGAGTCTTACCGTCTGACCGCGACAGTCTCCTCTTTCTTCTCCATGTTCAATCTGAACGCCGAGCCGTGATCCTGCTTTTATTATTGTTTATTCTGACATGAGAAGACAGTAGATACCCAAAGACCCCGCGCTGTCAAGGTACCGCTGGAAGAAGAGTCTGTTTCCGTTAATGTTCAAAATAAAGGTCTCACAGCAGACACAGCAGAGTTTTCTCTACAAATGTATTCACATAATTGCCACCGGCTAATTAGTTGTGGTAGAAAGTGCTGCACTTAACTACAACTTCAATTTTATGTCACTCTATGCTTCTACTCTGCTGCCGTTCAGAGGGAAATATATATAATAACATTACCGACTAAACATATGATCAACATATAAAACATGACATATTATTATACATTAAAGTTCCTGTATAGACACAGGTGTTTTGAGGTAGCATGACTTAGTTTTTACAAAGTTATACTATTGGTATTTATGTCAAACTCCATTTACTAACAAGGGTGATGGATGAGGTTGTAACTTGTCCCAGCTCAAAACTGACAGCAGTCAGAGAGAGATGTCAGTGAAGCCCACACAGTCCTGAGAAAAGGTATAAACACACTAAATGAGTAAAAACACCTGTGGGCAGAGACCACGCTCACGCAGGGTCTTTGAACAACCCAACAGTTTTTAGAAAAAAACTGAACCTGTTACATTAAAATGCTGCTTCAATGAGATAGATCACAACCCACTCATGTAACACTCCAATCAGCATCTTCATACTTAAAATTTAATTTTGTATTAGAGTATTTTTACAGACCTGAGCTTCCATCACTGCTATTTGGTTGATATGCCTCATAAGATATGTTCCAGTTGAGGCCTTATCTGCAGACTCTCTGCCACGCACTGTACCAAAATCTAGGATGTATATCGGAAATGAAACGGCCTTCAGTAGTTCTGGACCAAACCTGTGCAGCTGTGTTGTCTTTGGCTCTGAAGAATCGAATGAGGCTTTTAAATGCTTGTTTTGAACTAATTATTTTAGCTTTGCTTTTGCCAAGACTTTGTTAGGTTATTTACTCCACTGCCAGTTTTTTTAAAATGATATTCTGCTCTCTTTTAGAATTTTACAATAATTAATCCTTGTTTTACTGTTTCCTTCTTTAAATGTATTTAAAGTGTTTACTGTTCACTGTTGTCTGCCCTTTCTTTTGTCCTTTTTGTCCTTTTGCCCTATCGTATTTCTTTCATCTACATTCTGTGTATTATTTGTATTACTGCTATCATTAGTTATCAGTGCTGCTGTTGTTTTTTCTGTTGAGTGTGCTTCTCATAGCCTACATGTGTCCATAGCCATATCTATCAAAAACATAAGTTAAGTTTAGTGTGTCAATAATTGATTAATCTATTCACAGTAATTAATCAGTAGCCATTGTTAACTGATCAATTGTTGAAGTCATGTATCTGGGAACAATACCAGTCCTTCTCAAATGTGAAGACCTGTTGATGCTTTTTACCTTTTTACATCATCATAAATCAAAAACCTTTGAGGTTTGTGACAAGTGGCTGCTCTGCACTTAACAGGTAAGTTGAAGCTGTTTGACTCTTGATGATGACATTTATCATTATTTTTTGACATTTCATGGAATATATATTTGCATCATTAATTTAAAATGGAAGCATTAACTAGTTGTAGTCTTAATGACACTGGGTGAATCCCCGTGGTGAAATTAGGTCACCTGATCACAAAAATCCTTTTTTTTCCCCCCCTTGATAGAGCTTTTATTTTTTAGGTTCCGGTCAGACTGACTGTCTGACTTGACGCAGCCAATCCTCTAGTCGCGTACGAATCGACGCAGATGTTCAGACGCCACGCCCCGCGTCACGTCGCCCACCTTCGTGTTTTCTCGGCTGAAGGGTGCTTTTCTTCCTCCACCGGTGCAGAGAAGCAGTGAGAGTGCCTGTGTTTTTCTGCACCGCCCTCTATCGATCATCAGAGGGACATATTGTTTGTGATGAATCACTGTAAAAGCAGTAGCCTATGCAAACATGACAAGCTGCTGTAATGAAACACAAACTCTTCACAGCTAACACAGCTTGTCACACAGTTTTCAGATGTAGGCTCTGCACTTTTATTTTTTCAACTATTCCATAGATCCATTGGTTTTACAGTCATGTCTGGAATAAATGGTTGAATGGTAACATAATTGTGACTGATACCTGAAACCTGATGTCTGATCACACGACTCAAGCAGTTTCAAGAGTCTGCTCATTTATGTTTATACTATGTGGAAATGAATGGAAACCAATGGGTCCCTGGGACAGTTGAAAACACGTTCTAGTCTCAACAACAGTTTGCATAATGGTTAGCTCTAATGTAAAGTTTGTTTTTATAGGGCTAAATTCAAAACCACAGATATGGCCCTTTGATATTCCTCTTTATATTCACTACAGATTCACTTACTAAGTGAATAAAGTGGTTATATTTCATATTTTGTGCCAATTGAATTTGAAGCAGCTTTTTCCTGCAGAAGAATCTGAAACAGTATTTACACCAAAACTCTCCAATGAAATTGTTTTAACACAAACACGCACTGGTTTCTCTACACACATATTATAAAGCATAACTCATAACAATAATGAATAGTTTAAAAATAAGTAAAATGTGAAATACTCAAGCTTTTACATCTTATTTCTCTGTGGCTGTGGTTGTGGGGGAAGCTTCATCAAATTGACAGAATTAACAATATTCAACCAGTGTAATGTTATTATAATGATCAATAAGAACATGGACATGGACATGGACAATCTGGATCTATATCGGTCCAGCTGCAGCTCAGAGCTCAACCACACAGGACCCACACACAGAAAACCAGACGAGACTGTTTCAGCTTTAACATTTTAATAACAGATCTCCATATACAAACCAGATACAGTGACGTCATTCTGCCGTTATAACTTCCACCAGAACAGGCATGAAGTGTGTGAAAGCGTGTCTGATGCTGTGTGTGTGTGTGTGTGTGTGTGTCGGTCCATGCATGTGGCAACTGTATGGTGATAATGGAGAATGCATATTTTACACATACACATTTTGCACACACACATACACACAGCGGGAAATAAGAAAAACAATGTAAAAATGACAGGCCTTTAAACAGTGTCTGTTTGTCTTCCTTCAGACTGAAATGTCAAATAAAAAAGTGAGCATGTTTGGAGGGATTCGCTTGGTTCTGAATGCTTGAGTTGCTTCTGTGCAGAAAAAGGCGTTAGGAGGAAAACACTGGCAGAGTTTTTAGTTCATTCAACTGTTATTTTTCAGCATTTCAGCATTGTGTTGGCCCAGGTTCTTGTCTCACTTGACACGGCACTGGTTATTTTGGTACTTTCTGCTTGTCAACAGCCTGGACACAAGGATTTGTAGAGGTGAGAGGTGAATTATTGAATTTACTCAGGTTGCAGCTGTCAGCTGTGTGGAGCTACAGCTGTTCCTTTGATCAAAGCTTTTTTTTCACTTACACTTCACCTCTCAGTTAGCTCTGGAAACCAGAAATATATCTGCTCCAAAATGAGGCTAAATGCTCAGAGTCCATCTGAAAGATCCAAACATGTCTTTCTCAGGACTAAGTTCAAACTCATTGTGGTTACAAATCACAGAAAGTCACTTAAATCATTGGATGACAAATTGCTAATACTCTTAACACAGTTTACAATAGTGAGTGTTAAAGTAATATTTGTTTTGTTTGTTTCTTTTGGAAATGGCGTGAAGGACAGCATTTAATGAAGCAGGATCCTCACTCATCTTTTTACATCGGCCTTCACTGTAATCATCATCATCATCATCATCATCATCATCCTACCATCTACTGCAGCCTGTGTGTTTGTGTCATGTTCTCTGCATGATTAACCTACGCTAACATTAGCTTAAAAACGTCATGGCTTCAAAATGTCAAATAGTGATGTTAGTGGAAGGTTTTTATGAGATTGTACACAAAAAAACAAAAAACATATACTCTGTGGGAAAACTTTTCTCTTATTTTTCTGAAAAGTTTGATTGATAATCTTTGAGTGCAAAATACAAACATACAAGCAAAGGGTCAGTGATCGATGCCAACCAATCTCTTCACATCTGCAGTCACTTCTATTTTAGCCCTTCAGTTCAGGAGCAGGACGATCATCCTTCATACACCTCTTTTGTTTTTTTAGTGTCTTGGAAAATTTGTAGAGGCCTCACAAATTTAGCACGTAAATAAGAAATATTAAAAAACAATTAGAAATGAGTTTAGTTACTGTCTTCTCAGTCAGTTGTCTCTTGTATTTCACCCGGGTCTTCTCTTAAACTATGGAAGTTCACACACAAGTTTTACATCTCTCTGTCAGAAGACTAAAAAGTCACATTGAAGTTCCTTCAAACAGCTTGTGCAGCAGAAGCCAAGTGCTTTATGGCTGAAAAAGATTAAACCGAAACTCACAGACAATCCTCTACAGTGCTGTATACTGTGAGTTCCCTTATTCAAATACAATACATCCTGATTATGTCTTGCATACTTGCATTAAAATAGATGGTATAACAATAGTAAACATTAGACAGTGGACCAAAAAACGAGGCTATAAAATACTTGGATTAAGCTGCACAACCTGAAATTCAAACTTTTGTCCGCCTGTACTTCAGTATTTCAGGAGAAGGTCGAGATGGATCATTTTCATCGTGTGGTGAACTGTTCCTTTAACATCTGAAGCATTCATTTAGCCTTACAGCCAAGACTGAACCCTAAAACCCATGAGGGCGTTCGAGATACACTCGGTAAGAAATGCTGTTGCTATGACAACAAAAGTGAGTATATGGGCTGCAACAATACCCTTACACCGTTTCAAACACACCGCAAGGGAACTGGTGGTTTGTCTGTTGCTCCAAGGGCATAACCCTGGATCCTGCAGCCCTGGAAGTAGCTCTGCTATTTATAGGATGTATTGTCAGACAGGTAACTCTATAAATCACACACACACACACACACACACGCACGCATGCATGCACACGCACGCACACACACACGCACAGGAAAAGAAAAAAGACAACGCTGATAAAAAAAATACTGCTTCAGTTGGCTTTGAGACATCACACATGTAAGACAGGAGTCAGTAGTTTGTTATGGCCCAAAATAAGAGGCATGCAAAAGGAAAAAAAACAAAACAAAGTAAAAACAAAAAAACAATACAAAAGACATCGATCCTGTTCAGAAACACCTCAGCAGCCCTTTGTGTCTGGTTTAATGTTAAGAAGTGGACAGAATCAGTTTGGCATGCAGACGTGTTGACTATCAACCAGGGCGAGTGGGGTACCGACTCTCACTGACTGTGAATTCAAACCTGTTCCAAATTTATAACAATTTAATAATAGTTTGTTATTAAACGTCCTTTTCCAATTCCTCATATCAAATCCTTAAAACATTTGGATCTAATAACATACAGTAAGTATCATGTTTACATCATGGTGGACAGGGGTGTGCACCTCAGGGGTGTGCACCATCTCACAGCGGATTAAGTCATTCATGGCATAGTTGTTCATTTTCAGTCTCAACCAAAGTGGTGAATTGCCCGACCAACGGACAGACAGACGATGCCATCCCTTGCTGCTAGCATCAGTTATAACTCTTAAACTGGGACAGACATAAAAAAACATTGACTGCTCCAAGCAGCTGCTACTGCAGCTTCTCTATTGACAGATACTGTATGTCAGTTAGAGCAAAAATAACAACCCCTCCCAAACAGAAATCAGGTGACATGAGCACAGTCAGACTGGATAATGATGTTTAAAGCAAAATGGATATTTAACCTGGTTATCATTTGAAGAGGTCTGTCTAATATGATACAGCATCCATGTCCCCTGTCATATTTATAATGCGTCAAAATCAGCTCATCTTTGCACGTATTTCCAGTTAAACAAAGGTAAAACTGCAAACACTGAACTTGTGCGTGCCAATATGAGAAGGTTTTCTTTTTTTTTCATTTGACCTTTTAACCAAAAATAATCACCAAATACCTTCTGGCAGGTTTATGGCAGACAGACCATATCTGGTCAAATGATGTGCCAGGAATCTGAACAAAGAGTTAATAAGCACCAGAGTTAGAATCAGTCTAAATGATACCCAACCCCTGCAGAGGCAATTTCTGATTTCAAACAAATGTAACTGTAATCTTATCTGGACATAGCGCCGTTTCCTCTCAAGATGCACACCTATTAGATCCTCTGTATCCAGTAAATGGTGGGTTATGGGAGCTGTTTCTGCACAGAGATCAGATCAAACAAGACAATAACACCCTCTAATGTCAGCCATGGCAACTCAGGATGGACTGTGGATTTATTGTATGTGCAAATTCTTGCAAGAGGCAATTCAGGTGCAACAGGAATGGAGTCCAAGACACAGTATATATGATGCTACACCATAAGGGGATTGGGTGTGTGTGTGTGTTGGTGTGTGTATGTATGTATGTGTGTGTGTGTTACGTTTGGAATGTGCAACGGTGTGTGTTTGTTCGTGAGCAGGTTATTTTTGTTGCTGTTTGTATTATTTGGACCTACTAACTCGGACAGGCAGCTGAAATGTACAGCCAGCAGCCCCTTTGAAGATTGCTCTCTGTGCTCGACCCGGGTCGGTCTTTCTGAAAAGTCATACTGGACCCGAAATGCTTCCGCCTCCGCTGACGGATTAAACCCAGCTCACTTTCAGGGACAAACTGGAGAAACTCTATCACACGAAATAAAAACACATTGACATCTTCAAGTTCCCTAAAACAGCAGACATTCAATTTTTAACTGTGGTTGCTATGTACAATAGAAGGATCTTCATATATTAATATTCTTCATCTTTCCTGCTTTTTCTTCGCTTCCTTGCTGTCAAGTCATTATTTCCATACACGTTTGTCCTTTTTCTATTTATAGAGTATTTTCAGTATTTACAGTATAAATTACTACACAGTCTTGTGATAAAATAAATAACTTAAATACAATGGCCGTGGCTTTTGCAGTGTCTTTTACATGAAGGGGAGAGGGGAGGGTTTGGATGAAGGTGGGCTGAAGAACAAATGCAGACTGAGCCTGGCCTGCCGTTCGCTCCTCGTTGCCTCAGGGTAACACACAGAGAGGAAAACTGATTTGTTTGATGCAGTCTTTCTGCAGTAAAACATGGAGGGGTGAGGTGAAAGCAGACGGGCTGAAGCACCGGGAATAAACTTTATTAAATAAACTTTATTCCCATGGTGGCATGAGATGGGAAACTCTTCCTGAAGACCAAGTACAGTGTAGCGCTTACTTCCCACTGACAACCCATCAACGTTTAGCTTTTCAAATTTCTTACCACAAATGTAAAGGAATAAATGCTGCCCTATAAATCTGAGGTTACAGCATGCTCAAAATATTTGTTTCCGGTTTTTGGGAGATGAAAACAACATTTTATAAATGGCAAGGTAGAGCTGCTGTGGATCTAAATTTTGTTAATAAGAGCGACTAAGTCATAACATTTGAATTTTGAACAAAGTACTAAAAATATTATTACTGTTGCTGCTGTAGGACAGATAAGAATCACGGTTCAAGTTTTAAGTATATTATATGGCCAAAAGTATGTGGACGGGAGTGAGCAGGACATCACCCATATGTGATTGCTGAACATCAACCACAGGCTTTAATCTGCTGCTGGAACAGCCTCCACTCTTCTGGAAAGGCTAGGACTTTGGTACCTGGCTGCAGGGATTTGCTCACATTCAAGAGCATTAGTGAGGTCCAACACTGATGTCGGGTGATAACATCTGGTTCACAGTCTGCTCACTCCCAGTTCATCTCAGAGGTGTTGGATGGGACAGTCAAGAGTTTACACACCAAACTGTGAAAAACAGCTCCAGACCAAAGAGGTGTCCACGTACTTTCGGCCATGTTGTATATATGGTCCACTGTTGGTAGCTACTAGAACCTTGTCTGAGCAAAACTAATGGCTTACTAGCTTATGCGCTAGCTAGCATCTTTGCTATATTCAAGTATTTGTAATTGTTCTCGAATTGCCAGCTAACTTTTTAACTATTAAGTCTTAATTGAGAGCTTCAGAAATCTGTTGAAGTAATGTTAGTTTCAGAAGTGTTTCCCTGGAAACCTTGGCCGCCGTGAGAGTAAAATCAATGGGGAACAGGTTTTGGGTCAGAGCATGTATAGAGAGTTATAGTGAAGGTATAATACTGCAGTTGTAGGTTGGGTACGATGTGATATTTTTGAGAATCAATGGGGAGGATGACAGATAGGGAGAGGAGGATGAAGAACAGGGGAGGAGATGGAGGAAGGGATGAGTGCAAAGCTTCTCCTCCAGCTATACTACTGTGCCACTCGGAGAGTTCCCGTTCTGTGCTGTCAAGTTCTGAATGAGAGACACAAAGAAAAAACATAGTTAGAGTCCAGGGACAATCAGACTAAGAAAATCTATACTTCACCTTAAAGTGCAGGAAGATAAAAAGCCGTTGTTGCCGAGGAGAAGGGAGGTGAAATCCTCTCCAACTGTTGACTCATCTATTTAGCTTTTCAAGGAGGTGCAGACTGAAAAATCTGCTCAAAACAAACTGATACTGAGCTGCAGGGAAATAAACTTGCAAGCAGAATTTTACTGAGCTTAGTTTTACTGACAAAGCAGTAATATTAAACTAACAACTAATAGTAAGGAGGCTAATTAACATTTCCTAATGAATGTCCTGAAATAAGTAAAACCACATTAGAGAAAAGCAGAATGACCCAATTCCATGGGTGAAATCCTCCACTTATTTTGAGTAACTAAATATGAGACTGAAAAGGAGCATTCAGAAATGTAAAAATCGTTGTAGGAAAAATAAAATGTGTAATATTTCAGTCACGCTTCAGCTACACATCCAACACAACTGGACATAAAGCAGGTTCGGTTCTCCTCATCTGGTCTGTTTGCATTGTCTTCATCATTGTGTTTTAACTTAATTGGTTAAAATGTATTCAACAACAATTTTGATAGTTAATTGCATGTAAGGGAGCAAAGCCCTCTATGGTTCCAGCTTCTAGAATGTGAGAATTTTCTTTGTATATTTAAATATCTTTAAACAACAAAGTCGTCACTTTGGGCTCTGAGGACTTGTGATGGGCACTTTTGTCACAATTTACTGACATTTAATCAACTAAATGATAAATCAAAGAAAACAATCAACATGATTCATCTTTAATAATGAAAATAATTGTATCGATGTCTTTGATGATCCGGTGATTTTCTAATGACAGAGTTGACTGCAGACGTACCGCCTTCCCCGGCCGTGCCCAGGTGCAGATGAGACCCTCTTGGCAGGCCGTGATGATGCAGTCGTCCATGAACACCAGGACGGTCAGCCTCTCGTGTGCAATCTTCTTGCACACCAGCGGCTCCAGCAGCGGCACCTCATGCATGCGTGGGCACAGAGTGGTGCCCAGGACCTTAGCAGCGTCCAGCCGGTTGCTCCTCGGCGCCACGTTGATCTTGTCGTTGCTTTTGCTGATGTTGCCCAGGCTGTGGTACCGCTTGTGCTCCTTCTCCACCCCACCACTGCCTCCGGACTTGTCCGACTTGCGCTCCTGGAGCGACAGCGTGGCAAAGCGGCCGATGCTGAATGGGGTGCTGTTTCCTCCGCCGCTGCTCCCTCCGCCTCCTCCGCCTCCCCCGCCGCCCTCTGAGGCACCCTGGCTCTTGGAGGTGTTTGCCACGGCGGGGTGGGGCAGAGAGTTGGAGCGTGAGAGGGAGCGAGGGAGCGGTAAGGGGAGTGTTGGTGGGTTGGAGGTGCCGGTGTTGGTGTTGGGTGGGTGATGGTGCCCCTCAACCCCTCCACTTCCTCCCACTCCTGAGGTGCTGTTGACCCCCCCGCTGCCAGAGTTGGCTAGTGAGGGACCAAAAGTGTTAGTAAAGGCGCGGGACAGCGGCAGGCGCGGGTACAACACGTCATCCGTCAGGTCCCACAGACAGAACTGAGTGTCCTGCCCCACCGAGCCAAACCGGTACGTGACCGATGCCGAACCGCCACCTTTAGAGCTGTGTCGAGAAAGACGCGACAACGTGCTGCTTGTTCGAACCCGGCCGAAGTGCATGGAGTTGTTTTGCGCCCCCTGGTGGAGGTCCTCCTCGCTGCCGCTAAGCTCCATAGGCTCATCATCTTCCAGGGAGGTTGTGAACGGGTCAAATGCCACCACATTGACCCAGGACTTGTGGCCGTGCCCCCTCGCCACCACTCTGCTTTCTGCAAATGACCAGACAGTAACCAGGTCGTCCTCTCCGCCTGTGGCGAGGTATTTCCCATCAGGGCTCCATGATACGCACAGCAGTCCGCCAAAGTAGCTCTTCATCACCCCCTGCAGCTCCATCGAGTCAAAGTGGAAGACGCGCAGGCAGCCGTCCTGCCCCACACACGCCACATGCACGCCATCCGGGGAGAAAGCAAACTCGTTGAGTCCTCCCTCACCCACGGCCCATCTCAGCAGCGGGTTGCGAGGCGTCTTGGTTTTGCAAGCGTAGACAGCAAAGCCTTCACCCTGCCGCAGCAGAGAGTACTGTGGGGCCGTGGTGCCGCAGGGGTGGTCCACGTTGTAGAGGTAGAGGTGGCCACTGGCATGGGAGGCCAGGAACAGGTTCTCCGACTTGGGAAGCCATTTTAGACACGTCACCTTGGATTTGTCTATCAACCTCTGGAAAACAGGACAGGGGAGGGGAAGTGGAGGGAAGGAGAGGAAGACAGAAAGATAAGGGGACAGATTTGGGTGAAAATGGGAAAGAAGGAACAGGAAGTAGAGTAGACTCAGGGGAATTGGTGACACAAGAATAACAGAGGTGAAATATAATATAAGCAATACCTTGATTTTTGGGGGGGTTATGTGGATAGATAGATAGATAAAATCACATCATTGCTAGCAAAACGCATGATCTGAAAAAACTAAACGCAGAAGGGAAGCATGGGAAGTGAGAGAGTCCATAGGGGTCAAGAAACAAGCATGAGCCGGAAGCAGAGAGACTGAAACCAATAAAGAGAGAAAACCAGGGGAGTGGAAGATGAAGAAAGAAAAGATTTAGAGAAGCAAATCCCAGGGAGGTGAACAGACTCAGCAGACATGCCAACACAACGTCTGCATGCAGTAGTGCACACTTACACCCCCATTCTCCTAAATTTAATTGGGAATCCCATTAAAGAAAATCCCATTAAACAGAAAGAGCCAGTTCAGAAGACGCAGAAAAAGTGTGAAAATGACAAAGCGTGTTAGAGGGACAAACACAGAAGACAGAGTCTGAAATTCTAGGCTACATCACAGCAGGGCATAAAAATTGATACAGAGGATGACAAATTACTTCTGTGATTTTATAGCGGGCTCTAATTGCAGTAACACAAGGAGCTGCAACACTGGCCACAACACAGAGGAAGCTAAAATATGCAGACATATGCAGACAAGTATAATACCTCCTCATTGAAGAGTTTACTGGTTTCCTTCTTGATGGGGTCGAGATACTGGACTTGTCCAGCTGAGAAACCCACGATGAGAGCTACACTCTCTGCTGTGGCAGAGTACTGGTTGAAGTCGTGACACGTTGGCTGAGTCCCCTTGTAGATTCTCTTGTCTATTGGCTTACTGAGGTCTACAGCCTGCAGACAGACAAAGTGGAAAAAGAAAACCATGATGCACGAGCAAGACATCAGCCAAGTAGAGCGAAGCACCACAAACTGAGTTTCAGGCACGTTCAGATCTGGTGTTATGTATCCCGGGGGATTCATCTGAAAGCAAGGAGCTACACTAAAACAAATGATCATCACACATGGACGACAAAATGTTACACTGAGATATTTTCACAGCAGCTACAACAGAGTTTAATAGAAAAACATCTTTCATCTATCCAAGAGATCAGCAGTAAACGTCAGATTTTAGTGTCAGAATGAAAGTGTCTGTCAAAAGCTACTTTGTGCTCAGACATTCAACAATCACATAGGGAGAACTCCATACAGGAAGATTCAGAGACGCTGATGTTATTGGTCTGCCCACCAACAGTACACTGGAAGGTCACACCTGATCTCTGAGGGTTTGCTGGAGTCATTGTGGATTACACTGTAGCTAGTCCTTATTGTCAAGACTCAAACATACATGGTTTCACCACAAACCATGACACTAACTAAACACAAAGGGAAAGAACGTACTCATCATCATTTAGACTTAAAGGATAGAGACAGGCTGCCTTGGTGAAGCGAAACAGGTGAAGCTGAAGACCTGCTTCATACTGAAATACAGTCACTGAAATGCTGCTGTACGCAATGTAGACGTCTTAAAAAAAACATTTTCAACCAAATTCAGCCAAAAAAAGACAGCAGTGGGTGTCTGTGATGTGCAAATCAATAAAAACATTCTGACTGGGAAACGTAGGCAAAGCAGGAACACCCAAATAATAACTTACAACACTTCATCATAAAATAACACATTATGCACAAGACTATTATTAGAGATTATTAGATATTTGGACTGCAACAACCCATAATTTTCATTACCGATTAATCTACTCTACTAATCTTGATGAATCAATTAATTGTTGGTTAGAAAATAGCGGAAATTGCCTGTTACCATTTCCCAGAGCCAAAGGGTGACATCTTCAAATGTCTCATTTAATCTGACCAAAAGTCCATACCCCTGATATACTCAGTTTACTGTCATATGGGACAAAGAAATAGATTACGTCATCACACTGGACAAGATGAACCTGAGACTGTGAAGCATTTTTGCTTAAAAATGACTGAACAACCGATTAATTTTCTGATGATAAATTAACGAATACATCGAATAATTGTTTGACCTCTATTAGTCACGCAACAGATTGGTATCAGCACCAATAATTACCTTATGAAGCAGTTTTGGTATATGACTTCATGACAGGTATTAGATCAGTACTCGCTATCGGCAGACACACTGAGTTCAGGTATCAGAGTCAGTATTGGGAAAGGAAAACTTATATTGGCATCCCTATTTTTTCTATATTAATGTAATTTCACCTACAAATACACTGATAAATCATTCACTCTTCAGCGGGGAAGACTGAGTTCACACTCCTCTTGAGGTTCCCTTACATAAGGAAGATTGGGGATCCCTGAATTTTGAGGATGTGGGGTGTAATTTACTGCACGTCATGCTGCCTGAATGCACGTCCTGACTAAATGCTGAATGTACAGTATATTGATTGTGATATGTATCTTAACTGTCAGTTGCATATGAATATGTTTGCATGTGATTTCCTGCAGAAAACCATGTGAGTCTGAATACTGCATCAGCCATTTAGCCATCTACACACAGCTGCATAAGTAATATGACAAAAAGTCCTGTCAAATTAACTGCAGTAGTGGTACTTGCAGAGTAATTTTATTATGACCCAGAGAAGAGAAAATGATGAATTTGAAGGTGTGACTGATGGTGTGCAGTGAAACAGAGGCCATGACATTTTAAAATGTGCTCAGTTACAACATTTTCCTTCATTGATCCGTGTCACGTTAGAGGAGGAGAAGCTTTTTACATTTGTCCTCCAGTTCCTCCTAAATGGGTTATTAGCATTCCTCTTAATGAAGCAGGTAGTACAGCTAGCTGCAAGCAGTTTCAGCTCCCTACAAAAATCCTTGGATTTCTTGAATGTTAGTGATGCTAAAAACATGCTCTGTAAGGAGAAACTGGGGGACAAATACAGACACTACTGCTTCCATCACGTCAGGTGTCTAATCAAGAAAAACAGCTGGCTCAAAATGTCATGTCTGTCATATATGAGCAGTAATTTTGTTAACGAATTAGATTAAAAGCATTGGCAATAAAAGTCTTACATCATTTCTACACTGAATTCTGACTTTTAATGATAATACATCATTTATTCCATAAAGGGACAGGGAGACAGTAAAGTCTGTGATGCAGTGAGTGATATACATGGTTTTCAGTATTAAAATAAACTGCAAACCATCTGCTGGTGACTAATTCACCTTGCAATACCCCCTTCAATATGAGTAGTTACAGCTGCTCCAAACATGATTTGAGGACTAGCAGCAGAGATTCTTAATAGTACTGGGTACTGCAGAGAGAATAAACAGCCTTTAGTTCACATGGTTTCAGATGAAAATGCAGTGAAGGGAGTGTTGTGCTGTCAGAGCCTTTCAGGCTGCTTCCTGCTCGTGTAGTAACACAGTTGCCCTCCTGTAGCGTCCACAGACACAGTGCATCCGTCTGGATGATGCACCATTCACTGTCTACTCAGCCAAATTATCCGCCTCTCCATTTTGCATTGCATAACAAATAGAAATTATATATGTGCATGTTCACCAGCTCTGTCCAGCACCAGCAGCCAAAGAGGCTCGGTTTAAAAAGATGACGAAATACGAGCTAACAGCATCAAATTAGCAGTGCAGGCTAGCACGCTAGGCTAAGCCTGACCAACCAATCTGTCATTCTGGCCAAGAGAGGAGGGGAAGAACAGACTCACCTTCTTGATGTTGGTGTATGTGTAAAAATACAGCTCCCTGCCGATGTTGAAGCACACCCGTTCTGACTCCTCGCCCGGGTCTTCGGGCTGCAGCTTGACCATAGAGACCCGGACCGGCGGGAGAAAGCCCGCCGGAGAGGAGTTGGCTGCGGCATTCGAAGAAGAGGAGGCGGCGGCGGCGGCAGCAGCTGCGGCGGCAGCCCCGGGCCCCTGCAGCAGCCCGACCCCTCCGCCGGGTATCGGACCGGGTCCAGGCCCGGGGCCCAGCGTGGCTCCGGCGGACGGACCCCGCGGCAGCCCGCCCCGCTGCTGCGAGTCCGAGAGGGTGAGCAGCTTGTAGAAACCCTCTCTGGTCCGGAACTGGGATTTAATCTCATTGATATCCTTCAGAGCGCCGCCATCTCCGGCCATTTTTAGTACAAACAAGCCGCACAGGAAACTGAGATTTTGACCTGGAAATAATAACGGTGCAATAAAAAAGTACTAGAATAGAAATGGGAGATGAGGCGAGGGCGAGCAGCAGCAGCCGAGCTCAGCTAGGCCGACCAGCACACCCGGTTTGCTCCAGTGCATTTTACACCAGCACCGGCGACCATACCGCTGCTACCTGGTAAATAAACCCAGAGAGAAAGCCCTTCTGAGCCGGCGTAAGCATCATCCTCCACCGGTCTCTGCCTCTGCTCATCCAGTGTGCGTAAAGTACGTGTGATGATGCGTCGACTGCTGCTGCCGCTGCTGCTGCTGTTGCTGCTGCTGCTGCTGGCCCGGCTAGGCACTGCGCACTCCCGCAAATGTGTCGGGGGTAAAGAGAGGGCATCCAGCCCTGGACAGCTTGTGTGATTTACCCCTCATTTAACCTCCCAGTGACACCCAACAGGACCACCGTAAAGACATGGTATAGAATCATGTGTGCTCCTTCAAAGCCCCGCCCTCATGAAACAACTCTGTTGCTCTCGGGGCGTAAAGTTTTGCTGGTGCCTCTTTAAAACGCAATATGTAATTACTCGGCGTCTTTTTATGGAAAGAGATCAGCGCCACCAGAGATGGCTTCATTTGAATTGCAGAAATCTGACAGTGTCATGCTCGCACTGAGCTGTTTAATATTAAAAAGAAAATTGCTTTCCCGAATAAATGAATTAAAATTAAGGAGGTGTAATGCGCACTCTAAAACGGAATGCAGCGGCTTGCAATTAGATGCAAATATTATTTACTATATTTAAATTCAAATTTGTCGTTTGCCCAACACCCTTATGCCCCTATATTTGTCTTCAGACGCCTGTTTTACATTCAGCAGTTCAACATGAGGATGACAGATTTCTGTAGCTCAAGTACAACCTGTGCCCGCTAATCTCCTTCTTTGCTTTTCCATAAAGCAGTGAAGAAAGGATTCACTGCTGTTGGGATTTGAGTAAGATGATCCAAGGTCAATACAGTTCACCTCATCTTGTGTTAATTAACTTTATTACAGTGTAAGGGCAGTAAGAAGTGTGTATCTTTGATCCAACACTGACATAAGAAAAACAAGCAACAGCAGTGCTGCTCTGCTCCAGTCCTATATTCTTGTATATGGTATCATTCAAAAGCCATATATTTCAGCTGCTTCTGTGATCAACAATACTGTGGCAGGAGAAAGTAGACACTTTTGTTTTAGAGGACAACCTCCCTTCATTCTCAGCTGTCTAGATTCTAGAGATTGTTCTGCATCTCACAAATCAAGTAGAAATGAGCATAAATAAGAGCACACTCCCCCCAGATTGAGGGATAAAGGCTACAACACATCAATCATCTCAGGCCAGTATGAATCTGCAACATCCTTCCATTACATCCTCCTGACATTCATCTCCCATTAGAAAATAAAACACTGTAGCAGTGACGCATCCATGCCCATCAAAGTTAATGGTGACAGATGATGATAAACAAATGTCGCTGCCCAATTGTCCATTATCCTCCCGCTGAATGCTGCAAATCCTGGGTAGAGGCATTCATATGGAAGTGGAGTTGGGACTTTCCCATGATGCCCTATGCCAGCAGGAAGGAGAGTCAGGGCAGCATGACGTAATTCTCAGCAATTTCCAGGACGTACAAGTTGGACAGGCCTGACTGGTCCTCAGTCTGATGTGTCTCCAAAATGACCATCCTGCAGTGAGAAGGTCACAGGTTGTCAAGCACAAATATCTAGAATTGAAAACCTGCTTACACGCAATGAAAATCTTAATGGTAGTAAACATGGGATGCACCATAACAATGTTAATCTGATGTAAATTATGAATGGCTAGGGGTCTCATTCATTTTCCTGCCCATGGTAATAACTGTGGTGAGCCTCTGACTTATCCTGCAGCACCATCATCAGCTCAAAATGTTTGTCTGCTGGATACTTTGGTTTAAGTGCAGTGTGGGGGGTGGGGGGGTTCTCTGCTGTGTACAGAGTGATGTGTTTTGCATTTCCCAATTGTTTGTAATAAACAGAAGCTGAGCTGAGCTTATTAGTTGGCAGCAGCAACAAAAGCCGCCGTGTCTGAACAGACAAAGAAAACAGCACCACCTGCAGAAATATAAGCCCCCAGACATTTAACACCACAGCAATGAGTGAAGACAGTCTGTACCTGTCTGACTGCACCAATCTGTAGATCTTCCTGTGGTCAGTGGTTTCCTCCAGCACCTCAGTGAAACTTTGCCCTCTCCTCTGCCAGCCGTGACGCCACACTGCCAACAGCGTGTCCTCAAAATACACTGGACAGACAGACAGAGTCAGTGCTAAGATGTAATCATCTACAAAATGAACCATCACTGGGTTGTGACTGAATCTTCTCACCTATAGACTCAACATCACGAGAGAAGGTGGTCTCATTTGTCACGGGCCTGTTGCTCTTCAGCTCCCCCTTCAGATCAACTATATGTACTGACTCTGTGGAGGAGAGACTTAGTGTTGGATTATCAGCAGCTACATCAGTATGGATCAGACAGAACATAGAAAAAACATAGCATAGAGTTTACACACTATTATAGATCCCATCAGCACAGTTATGGGCAGAGCTGAAAGTCTCTGTACACACCGTGGAACAAACCAACACCTGAACTTCACAACTTCACAATCTCTGAATACACTTTGTTTCTCATCCAGATCACATCTGCCCATGACTGTGGCTGGATCCATACTTGCACAGCCTTTATCTGAACTCTTGTAGTCCTAAAGATGTAGTTTTAACATCAGAACCCCTGGGGTCTTCCTGTTGAAGAACAACTGCCTTTTCATCTGGTTACGTAATTGTCCATATTAAAATGTAAACATGTTTAAGAATAAACACCAATAACATAATTTTTTTTGGTATTTCCCATCATGTAGCTTGATGATTGATGACAAAAAATTCAACCTAGTAATACCATAATAGACAGAGTTTCATAATACTGTGATATACTGTGCCATAACAGAGTGAGTGTTATCTCCAGTATGTTGGGAGTGGACACATTATATGAACAAACCTGTACAATCTAATGCAACTTGACACATTATTCGTGTAGCAAAGGGTCTTTCTGTGAAGCTGATAATGTTCAGTGTGAACTCAGCTCAGATATATTGGACTGGGCGATAATGTAGAGATATTTGTGTTGTTATGTGTATCTCTGTATAATGTATGAAAAGTATTCTGTATAGTCAGTCAAATATTAATGAGACGTGTTAAAAGAAACTTGCATTACTTACTTTCCAAGAGGACGAGCAGTGAGCTGCTGTCCAACTGGTTTACTTGCACAACGTCTGGACAAGGTTTCTCTGCAAGAAAACACACACACAAACACAGACACCACAGCATCATCATCAGCAACAACAAAAACAATGGTGTGAGATGTAAAATGCAGAAGACTGGCTGGGAATTCAGATCATGATGTTGCATTTGTAGCCCCTTCAGTTTTACATATAATAATGCAGTACCAACTTACCCAGGCCAATGCTGGTGAACCAGGACGTGTTGGAGTTGAGGTTCATGTATTCTACACTGACTGGCAGACTGGGGCTGGACCCCCGAGACACACCGATACACACCAGCGGGTACTCTTGCTGGGGTGCCACAACCATCTCAAACACCCGCAGAGGGTTGGGCAGGGGGAAGTCAAAATGCTGCATGCATGAAAGAGGAAAGGTGTAAGTGAAGTAATCTCCTTTAAATTGTCTTCGGGTAATTAGCTGTGGTTTTTCATCTCAAGAGGGCAGCGAACACAGCAGTGAGTTTGTTCAAGGACACTTAAACCTGCAACATTTCAGCCACAGCATGGTGTGTAGCTGAGGACATCAGTGAGTCTATTCCCAAAACCATTACCACTTTATGGTCAAAGGGCTAAAGCTAACTCATAAATTTAATGGTGACAATAAAATACTTTATTTCGCTGGCAGCAGTCATGTTATTAGCTGCTGTCAGTGTTCACAGTCCAATAAAAATGGTAAAAACTACTGTAAAAGTCAGACAAGTAACAAAGAGGAGCCCATGGCATCACACCATACATCATCTCAATTTACACATAATTTTTGTTGCGTTTTCACAGTGTACATCCTATTTATTATCCATGGGTCTTCCTGCATTACAGTATGTAATTCCTCTGCTCTTTTTACTCAATCTTTTAATATATAACCTTCAAGACAGCGGAAAAACCATTGTGAACTTTACAGGAGGAGAAAGGCTGGTAATTATACATGAAAATGCATTTTTATAGAACACAGACCCTGCTTTTTACAATTCATGGACCGTTAGAAGAAGCTTAATGTTGTGTTGCTTCTGCAATGTTCTGCCACATTAACACTGATGTCAAATAAAATCTCAGAAACCTCTGGGTTGGAAAACCTCTCTTTTTGTTTAGACTCTACAGGGGAACTCTGACAGCCACACTCTGACAGCCACACTTCCTTCCTGTCATGTTTACACATTTACACCTTTTAACCTAAATAAACTGGTTCACTTTTTCTTTCCTGAGGACTAAAACATTAGAGTAGAGAATGCTTTTTTTTTATACTCATACCTTAATGAGCATGAACTTGTGCATGGGCTCGTACCACTGCAGCAGCACCACACTGGACTCCAGAGCACAGCACAGGAACACACAGCCTCTCTGCATGCTACCTGCTACATGAGACGAGACAGGATACACGTTTTCGTTGGTCATCTCTCTGAATTGTATGGGAATCTGCAGGAATCTCTGTCTACTGTACTTTAAATTCACAAACTAGTGTGCAGGTAATTTTGCTTCACCACACCAACTATCTAAACTATATCTGGACACACACACAGACACTATTTCACTACTTGCAGGAAATTGATGTGTAAATTTAATATGTACAACGGCCTCTGCACAGACATAAAAAACATGACTTTTTTTTGCCATAATGCAGTATTTGGTCTCACCAACTGAGCAGGTCTTGCAGCCTTTTGTATCGGGTATTTTACACGTCACTGCATATTTCCTGAAGATAAAACAGATAATTCAGTTTTTGATTGGCATGAACAGATGTTGGTAAGTTTTTTGAGACAAACTTTTCAAATCAAACAGGGGAGGGAGAGAGACACAAAATGAAATGCAGCGAGTCCAGTGTTACCTAGGTAACAGTCTGTGAGTCGGCAAGGCAACCATCCTCTGGTCTTTCCGAGCCTGTTCATACAACTCCTTCAGCGAATGGGAGTGAAGCTGCAGTGATTTACCTGTCAACACAGAATCAGAGGCAGTTTGAAAGTTTGTCTTCTTTGCTTCTCCCTGTTGATTCTCAGAGGACTGCAGCTTTCACAGGGTGAACACAAGAAGACACACAAACACTCACGCTCCGAACTACGGCTCCAAACCACCTGACTTAGTATTTAATCCATGTAAATGTGCAGAAAACATGCAAGCATGATGAGCACTGAATGGCTCTGTTTTAGCAGCATTAATGTGTAGAGTTGGTCTCTTGCCTACTGACATCTTAATGTGGTTTTTAAAGCTAGCTACTGTTGCTAAGCCAGTTAGATAATACATCAAGGGTCACAGCAGACGGTCAGAAATCCTTTGACCTGTTAATTAAAACATGTCCTCTGCTTTCGTAGCAGCTCCTCAATATGTTCTTTAAATTCCAGCGAGATGTTTTTTCAGGAAGCCCCCATGGAATAGAGACAAACAGCTAATTCTTAATGAACAGTTTATTCATTTACCTGATACAGACATGAGAACGTTATTAATGGTGTAGACCCATGTACACTTCCCGGGATACAACTGAAAGAGAAAGAGAAGACATCCATTCATTCTTTGCTACCTTACAGCTGCAGTGTCTCTTTCAAAAACACATTAATGGATTTTCAAGTGTTTTTTGCCTTTTGTGAGAAATTTTCTAATCAACTGTCACAACAAACAAAGGGGTGAGAAATTGGCCGGAAAGACATTACCAACTTAACCAGACCCAGAGTTTTGCCAGAATAATTTTGGGGCTCACTTCAATCTCCTCTCTCTCCTTGTTTACAACCCACAGATTGATCTGTAGTAAAGATAAAGATCCTACCAGTTCCATTGTGGCCTCTGAGCTGTTGAGGTTAAGAGTATAGATCCCTTCCTCTGCCCCCAGGATCAGATGCTGGTCTGAGGAGGAGAAGAGAAGAGACACAGGCTGGTCAGACAGATAAGAAGATAAAGCAGAGCAGAGAATTAACTGTGTGCTTTCTTCAATGATACAACCTTTGTTAGTTGGGTTTTCCCAGGTGGTGGAACAGTTTATTTTAAGAGGGCAGCCATGGAAGATCTTTTTAAAGTAGACCTGGAAAGACAGGGGAAGACGTTCAATTATTCACTTTGGCCTCTCTACAGTCGTTTGTATCAGTGATACAACTTCAAACCACTACATGATCTCTTATACCAGATTAAATGTATATTTCTGCTTTATCTGCAGATAAACACAGGCAGTAGTCCTAGAAAACGATTGCTGTTTTAATGGTAAAGGTCAATGAGGTGAGAACATTATCAGTTTTAAGACAACAGGCTTATCAAGGAGTGAAATTATAGAAAAAAACCTGTTGATTAATATTTACAAAGACTGATATTACACAACAGTTTTATCTGCTGGCATCACAACTTCAAGATCCAACCTCATAATCTTAAACTCAACATATAATAATAAATATGGAGCCTGCTGAATTAGAATAGCTGTTTCCCTTGGGTACGATGCTGTACACAAGTGCGTGACAGTCTGAAAACATCAAACATCACCCCACATCTCAGACACCCAGCAGTGGAGTTTGATATGAAGGGAGGAGAACTTGTGGCAAAGCAACAGAAACTCACAGGAGGTTTCTTCATGACAGGGCTGACGCACTCAGCGGGGTCCTGAGAACAAAAAGAAAAAGTCAATGATGAGCGTGTCAGGACACATCAAGATGGAGGAGAGAAGTAAATCTCAACCATAAACTAAACATTTTGTTTCAGTTACACCGGAGCTGATCCCTGAATTTCACCTCTACTCTCTCAAAGAAGGTCATGTGTCTTGTGGGAATATTTCTACCACACAACACTCACAATAGTAGACTGTGAACAGATGATCTCAGACACAGTAGTGCTAAGTACAAAAAAAAAAAAAAGGAAAAATACAGTAAATCTCTTTTCAGTTTTATCTGTTGTTCTACCTTTGACGGGGGTTGCCGTCTGCGTATGCCTTTAGGAGGAAGCTCTGGAGGAAGGAGGTCCAGTGGGTTGTCATTCAACTGGACGGGTAAGGACATAGGGTCTGAACCACACACACATAAACATACAATAAGAAAAGTAATACTGCATTCAAATGAAAAAGTTGTTCTGTAGTTGAACTTTCTGGACTGATTATTAGTCATTTTTCTCCATACAGTAGTTGTGTATGTGAGGGTGATGGCTGAGGAGGAAACTGGACAAACTAACTCCTGAAATATTTCCTGTTTAATAAAGCACAATCTTGAATACTGGTTTGAATACCCTGCAGTGCTGTCCTGATCAGACCTTTGGATCAATTAGTCAGTCCAGTACATTAAAGTTGTCTGAAGAGTATAGAATATATCATATAACATACAACTTTTGCTTTAAATCATCAGGATATAATATGGTGTTTGAACAATATTAAAGCATCATGTTTATACTGACTCAGTGCTGGGGAGCTTATTTTCTGTTGGTTGAGAATCAAGCTTGTTGTTTTTGCTGTTATTGTGTAAACATTGCAAATATTGCAAAGAAAAAAAACATATTCAAGTTGACTTCTATATTGTGTATATGGGCCATTCCTTCCTTCAGTACTGTGCCTCTTCGGTACAGTATAAAGGTGAGGCAGCTCACCTGAGTGTCGTGAGGATCGTGGTTGGGGCGTAGGTCGGACGTGCGTCCCACTGGAGGTCCTGAGAAGGGCGGTGGCGTACAGGGAGCATGGTTTCCTTGCCCGCTCATCTTCTCCCGCCATGCTTTCCTCTGAGCTGGTGCGTGCTTTAGGCTGCAAACACGGAAACATAAAACAATATTTTTTGTAAACCGACTGAATATTGAATGTCTTTACATCTTAAATAGTGTAAACTGCCCAATGTTCTTATCCAAAACAATTACACATGGCACAGCGGGAAGAGGTTTGACATGCTCCAGGGTTCATTAGCTATCCTGATCTTGGACATTATTTTCATCATACAGTGATAAAGTGTATAAACTATTAACTGAGTAATGTTTTCCAGTTAACACAATAAACTACTAATTAACAGTCAGATAACATACTAACTAATATTTAATACTAATATAATATAAATGCATATATATTGTCACTCATTCAGGAATGTGTTAATAAATGTAGCACAACCTCTGAAAAATTAATGAACATATGTGGAGAAAGGTACTTTTCATTGTGAAACCTGACATTCAAATTTCAGCCTTCGCATATCTATCTATCTATCTATCTATCTATCTATCTATCTATCTATCTATCTATCTATCTATCTACCTACCTACCTACCTACCTACCTACCTATAACTGTTAAAACCAAAAATGACTTCATGATAATATGATAACGATGTAAATAGCATGCAGAAGAACTTTTAAGAAGGCTTTGTCTTAAAAGACATTGCTCTGTAATAAATACACAAACACATTTTTTCCCTGTCCACTCAGTAATCACCTTTGGAGGAAGTGGAGGCGGGGTTTCATCAGCTATGTCACTGTTGGCAGAGAGACAGTTGCTTCAGTGATGGGTAAATGATGCAAATACACATTAATACACATGTGAGTTTGTGTTTATTCATCTTACCTTGTGGCTATCGTAGGGCTGAGGTGGACAAAAGACAAAGAGACGGTGTCAATGCAGTCTATTGAAATTATTGCATAGGCTTGATTGTATATAAAGAGAAAAACATGAGAAAACTAGAAGGCCATCAGACAGCGCAGACCTCCACCAAGGCCAATGTCAAACAACATACACCAGACTTCAGAGGAAAAAATTCAAATTCATAGTAAATGATCTGGATCTTCTCTGGCCCACGCCCCGCCTCTCCACCAAGTTTGGTGTGAAACAGATCAACAGTTTTTGCGTAATGAGGCTGACAAATGGGTGAATACATAAACTCCTTGGTGCAGGTAATGACTGCTGGCAAAAGTCAAACGCACTCTCAAATATTTCTGAGGGGCTCAGGTCCTAAGCTTCAGCAAATGAGCAAATATTTGACATTCAATTAGCTGTGATCATTACATAACAGTTTAAATTCAGGCTACCGTGGTGTTTTGGAATGAGTCATTCGTAAGCTGTGGTGTTTTGTTAAATGTGGATTTGGTAACATTGTGTGAGGTTTTCTTACATATCCACATCATCATAGTCATCATCTGATTCTGTGTCCTCATCCCTGAGAGAGAAAGAGAACAAAGAGGTTCAATATTTTACTGTTTAATGTGACTCCATGTCTCTGACTGATCTGTCATCCAGTTACCTCACTGGACTCTTGCTACTGCCAGCTGATCCTAGTGAAGGTCTTAACTGTAAAAAAACACATGACATTACCAATATGTTAAAAGAGGTTAACAGTTTAGAGATGTATAAAACAAGAACTCCACAGTCACAAAGATCACAGAAAATCACAATGTGCTTTACATCATAAAAAGTACAAAAGTTAAAGACAAAGAAATAGGACCATAAAAAGCAACACAATGAATAAAAAGCAACAAAATAAAATGGAGGAGGAATTCAGACAGACTAACCAAAAGCCTGTGTGAATAAAATGTTTTTCAGCTGCTTCAAGGTGTCGCAGATGTCTATGGATCGCAAGGATAGGGGCAGAGCAGTCTATAGTTTCGGTGCCACGGCCTGAAAAGCACGGTCACCTCGTGTTGTGTTAAGTTAATTGTTTTGTTTGGCTTATGATAAATATAATGATAAATTTGAGACCCCAATGGAGCAAACGAATGGGGATTCCTGCACACAAAGTTCACCTCTGATGAGTCCTGCACTCCTTCTTGACATTTACGGGACATAACACAAGAGTGAATCACTGTTAATTATGGTCTGCCTTTCCCAGTATCAGCAATGTTGACTTTTTACAAACTGTGATACCACCAATGTGAAAAAAGGAAATATTTATTTTGAAATACTAACAGAGATAAAGACAGACTGGACACATCACTATCTGTGCCCTATGTACAGGGCACCTCATGCACTAAGTGTATGTTTGCAGTATGTTTGCTCGTATGCACATATATACATACACAATAATATGTATATACAGGTTTTTACTGTATGTATAAGTATGTACTGTATGTTCATACTCAACATACAGTACAAATATATACACATATCTTTGTATATATGTTTGACTATATGCATGTTTTGTTTGTATGCACATATAAATATGTAGTAAGTTGTTTGTAAGTATGTAATGTATAGATAATGAAATGTATCATTAAATGTGTCATAAGCTTACCGTTACATTTGGCGAATCTTTCCTCACAGGCCTCTGAGTGTAAATCTGTTCCACTGAGCAAACACAAGTAAAACAATATAACACACTGACACTTTCCACATTAATAATTAATGTCATAACATTTCAGCCACTGTCCACAATGTCTTACTCAGAGAAACTTAAAGAAGAGCAAAGGCAGAATAAATTTTCATTCTTTCACCTGCATTTTTATCATCTAAAATATAGTGAGCAACACGGCTGAAACAAATGTACTGTATACACAGACTGTATATTGCATATGTTTCCTGTGCTTTTGGTGAGGTAATATTTCCAAAAGTTAAGTGCAGAAAGCTGCAGAAGTGCATTTTTGCTTTAGCAAATTAAAGCATGTTTTCCTCGCCAGATGAAGAGTAAGATTTGAAAAAGAAAATATTTCTGGCAGAGAATATTTGAAAAAAAATGTGACAAAATGATATAAAAACATGAAGGCTTGTAGTGACAGCATGTGTGTTTTCTTACAGCTTATGTCAGAGTTTGTCCTCTCTGCCCGGTTGTGTTTGTTGATTGACTGGATCCTCCTTAAAGATCCTGGAACTGCCACCTTAAATCAACAACAAAACCTATGGTTAACCCCACCACCAGTTAGAAAATTTTATTTTACAGCTAATTTATAATGTGAAATGAAATTAGACTCACCAAAAGTGGAAAATCCCTTTAATTTATTTAAATGTATTTATTTAAAATGGAAATAATAGACTGAAATAATAGATTGAATATCTTTTTTGACTAATCAGCAATTCATCATGACATAAACAGATTCCTCATATCTTCCAAGAGTCTAATCTCAATTTATCAAAGAAAGTTTTGATAAGAATCTGGTTAAGACCTCCATGTCCTCGTCCTCCGACATCAGGCAGGTCTTCAGTTTCTCAGGGTGGCAGAACTTCTCCAGCAGGTCCAGGGTCAGCTCCTGGTTCAGGCACTGCTGGGTCAAAAATGTGTGCTGCAGAGAGGGGATGAGGTAGAGAAGAGACACAGGACACAAAGAATGGAGAAAGAGACAGTGAGCACAGATTAACAGAAACAGCAGATAACTGGAGGAAGAAGACTGTTAACAGCAGTGCAGTGGTCAACACCAGCTCAGTCCGGTAAATAATAGTTTTTGGCCACATGGAGGCAGCAGAAACAATTTGTTGACAACTTGTTTGACTTGTTCATTTAAAAGTCCCATATTTGACACTTTTCCAGTGTTGTATTTGAAGTGTTTATCCATAAGAAGATATATTTGTTTTTTTAAGAACCAAAAACCATCTGAGTGTAGTTCTACATCTCCTCTCTCAGGCTTCTCTCTGGAGCTCTGGTAACAACAGGTCGGTGAGCCAATCAGAAGAGAGGAGGCCCTGAGCCGATTTCAGGTAAACACTCAGAGAAACCAAATCCTGCAAGATTGAATGGTGGGTCCAGGTGGGTGGGGCTTGGGGCATGGCTTAGAGCAGTGACTGCTTGTTGTGACATCACAAAGTTACAGAAGTCCTTACAGCTGGTTTTAAGGCTCAGTCTCTGAATACAGGCTGTGTGCATTTCTCTGTGGACTGAGGCTTTGATACTTTCAGAGTATTAATATAGAACCTAGACCTGCTTTATAATCAAACAACACATGGACATCTACCTTTATACTCCATGGGACGTTTAAAGATCCAGCAGTTACAGAGGAACACTAACTTTGGTTTGGAGCCAAAACAGTAAAGTTGTGAGCCGGACAGCTGAACGATGAGCCAAAACTCACTATGAAGCTCCTTAAAGTCAAGGGTAGCTGCAGATTCTCACCACGGGCAAACCCTGTCATATTGTCTTTTGATAAATTATTATAAAAAAAATAGCTTTTAAGCTGTAATATCCTCTTTCCAACTGCCCCTCACAAATCAGCATTACTACATTTTCAAAATAATGTGAGAATGTATGAGCTTTAATCAGTAGTTACGACCTTCAACTGACAGCTGGTCTTCTCTTAAACATTCACAGTCTGTCAGTCTCTCTGGCTCAACTGATCAGTCAACTCCATGCAGAAACGACACTATATAAACTTAAAGAGAAGATTTTGTGAGAAATACTGACCGAGAGCATCTTGGAGGCGCTGGGTCTCTTCTTCGGGTTCCTCACCAACATGGCCTTGACAAAGTTATAAAAATTGGACGACCTGCAGACAGGAGATATGTTGGCAGCATTTTATAAATAGAAAAAAAAAATCTACATACAGTTCTTCATAAATACATACAGTATACAGACATAAAGAATTGATTGTATTTAGATCCTTTTTATCAGTTCATATTGATACACCAGTTGAAGGTACTTGTGTGCTTGCTTTTATTTCCTCTTATTATGTAACATACACTGAGAAAACAAATATACAAGACCAGAAAACTGCACCTGATCATAACAGACTGATTGATACTGTAGGAAAAAATTGCTCCCATGTTTAAATGAAAAAATATAATATATTTTATAATAGTTATAATAGTTTTTATTTACCATTTGGACTTGTCTTTCAGTTTCGGAGGCTGGTAGCCGCTCTTGGACATGAGAAACAGGACGCTGCAGAAAATGACAGAGTTGACCACAATCAACAAGAATCTGCATGTGTTAAATTATGTGCATGATGTCACATACATGTATATAGTTTGTGGGCTGGACCATAACTATAGTGTGTTTCATTTGGCAGAGTGAGGAAGGTGTTTGTGTGACTGGGCGATAGCATGCATGAACATCCGTTTGCCGGACGTGTGGGTGGTGGAAACATTGTTGTTTGTTTTCTTTGAAAGATAACAAAACCAATCAGCATGGGCGGGAATGTGTTTAATTACAGGACTTTGCATGCAAGTGTCCACACGCATGGGGAAACACAAGTTTTTGAGTGTAGCATGTGAATATGTTTCACAAATATTTTTGGTGTGTGCGTGATTGTGACAGGGATCAAGGCAGAATAGATTTCTTCATGGGTCTTTTATGGCAGAAATGCAATCAATCAGTATGTGCAGGTCTGTCCAAAGGAGCAGTAAACAATAAAGACGCAGACAGTTAACACAAAGTGGTCCTGGTCTCTTCTTATCATCTGCCAGATTTGAACTGAACAATGTTTACTGTTATGAACATTAATGTTAGCATTTTTTGTGGAACTACTTTCTACTGATGAAATTGTTCGTCTGAAAACTGCTCATTATCCAGAGTAAGGGACCCTTTCTAGAGAGAGGTGTTGAAATTTTATGTGTAATTTTCCATCACTATCAGCAGCACAAATTAAACTTTTTTTTTTTTTTAATTAATTTCCACTGTACCTGGGTGGCAGCAGAAATCTCAGAAATGTTATCTCAAAACTTGGACAAGTAAAACCAGAGGTAAGTGAGAAAATATTACATATTTTGTCATTGAACCGACCCTTTAATGTAAATAATTCAGAGGGTCTGCAAAGGGTGGGGGCTGCGGGTGTAGGTGAACTCCAACAGGGCCCAGGTTTTATTGGTCATTTATATTAGAATTAAATGGGATATTACAATATTAGAAGTAATTTAAAAGACAATAATGTTTTTAGGTGTAACTTGGAAACCAATAACGTTACTCCACCTCTGGCGGACAGTGCAGGGTCCAAAATGAAGTAAGTGATTATCATCTTCATTAAGTTAGACATAAATCTACTCTGACAGGGTAAAAATTTGAATCCAAAATATAACATATAATAACAGTTATTCATAAGGGAAAATCAATTGGCTGCATAATGTGCATCGTAATCAATAACAAGTAACACAGTCTTGTTCTCCCAAGAACGTCTTTAGAAATTAAGCTTCCTGTGTGTGATGTGATGTATGTGTGTATATAAACTCACGGCCACAGTAGTTAACTGCAGAGTTTTCATATAGCATATAGCAGTGTCATCAATGGTTTGAATAACCATAATACTCACAGCAGAACATTTACTGCTTTTAGCTGTTACTAGGCAACAGCTTCATGGTGTAGTAAACTAATATTTCTGTAATGCCCTAAAAACATGAATGAACTTAAGTCATTTGTGATTGGCAAGTGGTCATAGTTGATAATGACCATGGTTATTTTTGACTGATATCTGTGTGTATGCGGAGAGGTGAACACATGCTTATGTCTTTCAGTGTGTATTTACCGCAGCGGATGGACGTCAAACATTGGTGGCTGTAGCTCTGCCATCTCTATAGCTGTGATGCCCACAGACCAGATGTCACATAGTTCATTGTAGCCGCCTTTTATCTCCACTGCTGCCACCTCTGGTGCCATCCTGAGGGCGGGAGGGGAACAGCAGTGATTTACACATCACAGAAAACACAACCAAGCAGAACAGATCAGTAGTTATACTATCACTTTTGTCAAAGACGCAGCTGCTCTGATCCTAGATTACAGCTCTGTGAAAACAACAAAAGATTATTCTAAATTATCATGGTTAGAATATAACTTTTAAATGTTGCTCACTGTTTGCCAGACAAGCAGGAAATGGCTCATCATGTTGAAATATATGTGACATATTTTGAATATAATTGCACAAATGTTTGCGCTAGCTACACAGCTGCTTGAAAAGTAATGGCATCATGCAGGACACATGATATGCATATATATAATGTGGTAAAAGAGTTCATATCAATTTGCTCCCATCAGCCACCTGCAGTTATTTTGTCCCTAAATGTTCAGCGTCAGGTGTTTACAGGAGAAAACTCAAAGCTGCAGAGAGAGTGGTCTCTTGGTTTTGACCTTACCAATATGGCGTCCCAATGAAGGACATCCGCCGGGCCAGAGTGGCTGTGATCTGAGCTGAGATCCCAAAGTCAGCTACACAACAGAGGAAATAAAAAATATGAGTGAAAAACAACTGCCATCCATTCAACACCTGTCATATGTGAAGGTCTGCAAATCAGGAAGACAGGTTTCTGCAAATCTTGAGTGAGCCTTTGTAATAATCTTACAATCAGAGATCAATCAAATAAATTTGTACTTTTTTATTTGACAAACATTTATTACAGAGTTACTGCAAACTGCTACAAAGGCAACATGTGCTAAAACTTGTCTTCAGTGCATAAACCCAACTTTTTGAAAAAAGAGCTTTAGTTTTTTGAATTTTGAAAATGTTTGTGTTTCTAATGTATGAGGGAAAATTCAAATAGGTCCATCAGTGTTCTTCAGTATTTGATCCTGTTTGAATTAACATGGTGTATTCATGGGAAACTGAAACACTGATAGTTTCTTGTAAATGAAACAATGTTTTGAACTGTTGGACTCAGACTACCACAAGATAAATTCTCAACCAGATGGGAAACACAGAGACACATTGAATCTTTCAATAACGTACAAATCAGCTATGTTTCAACAAGACAGCAGAGATATGTTAATTGAGCCGTAACTCTTGCAGCGAGTGACTCATCTTAACCACATTGGTACAGTGCACAACAGTGCAAACATCCACCTACCCAGCTTGACCTCGCCCTGATCATTGAGGAGGATGTTGGCACCCTGGAAGCAAGAGAGAGCAAGATAAACATGAACACAGACACAACCACAGACACTTCTTATTATAACAAGACTCTCCTTTACCCACTCAGTGATCTTTACCTGAACCCACACAATATGGAAATAACAAAAGCTCAGATAACTAACTACTGTAAACTCTCTGTAAACAGGCTCTCCAAATAATTAGCTAATTTTCTGTTGCATTATCTCTAGTAAGATTCAAATCTTTTTTTTATCCCAGATTTCAATGTAAACATTTACTGTCTCATTTTATAAACTACTTTTTCATCATAAATATATAGGGTTGAAAGTCTGAGAGCTTGAAATTACTTCAAATTTTGACACAACATATTGTCTATCAGATGTTTCAATAAAAAAAAAACATACACATTATTTTACTGTTATTCTTCATGAATACAAACAAGTCAAAACCCTAAATCTTTAGCACTTTGTTTGCCATGCTCTTATTTACATCTTACTCTTTGTTGTTGCAGTGACCCAGTTTTTCCAACAGCAATCTGAACGTTTAATCTTTTGTAGATTCTTGTGCTTTACCACAAATAAAATGCAAGATGCAAGCAAACAAACTTGAAGAATAAAAGTCCCACACCACTGTGTGACATTCTGACCTTGATGTCTCTGTGGATTTTCTTCTGTGCATGCAGGTAATCCAGGCCCTGGTCACACACACAGTGAACATCATAAACGTGACAGATGTGTGTCTCACCAAAATAAAAACATATTCATTTCACACATTAAAAGATCTTCAGCAAGGGAAAATGAAGAATAATAGAACATCATTATAAACAGTAATGTGTTTTAGATTATTATTAAGAAAACCTAAATGAATAATTAATATGCAATTACCTGTAGCATCTCCCTGCAGATGTACGCTATCTGTGACTCAGACAGAGGACCAGTCACTGTGAAACACAATTTGTTAAATATAAATAATAATTTAATGGAGAAACAGCATTTACAGCTTGTACAAGAGAAAGAAGAAAGCAGATTAAATGATCGAGGTTCATTACAACAGTCATTTACTGTAGTTAATTTTGCATATCAGAACTGTGGACTGGAACAGCTTATGACTGGTGTCTAAGCTTCAAAAAGACTCCAGAGTTGTTTGCACAATTGATTTTTTTTCATTTGTAAAACAGTCACAGTAACTTTTAAAATTTAAACAAAATTTTAAACAAAAATACATATTAGAAGAACAAAGAGGAAAAAAAGTTGACTTAAAGCAAAATCTTTAGGTTTTTCAGCCGTGGTTGAAAGGGGAGAACACAGACAGGCCACTTTACAAACGACTCCACAGTTAATGCTAACTTCAGGTCAAGTTTAACCAAATTATCTGAACCACTCTGGATTTGAAAACAAACCTTATGGCACCTGTACTGTCTTGGAATAAATGTCATTTGCACAATTAGTTTATTACTTGTAAATTATTACTTGTTTATTAGTAAATTACTTGTAAAACTGTGTGTACCAGTGTCTCAGTGCCCTGTGTCTCTACAGTGGTGACTGAAATGTTTCATCTGTCTGCATCAACATCTATAGCACTGATCTCCTGTCTCTGCAGGAGACAGTAAGGGAGGAGGAAAAAAAACCCCCAAAATACTTTAACAGTAATACTATTAAGTCTTTTTTCTTAAAGCTTTAGAATGAGGCTGGCTCAACTATCTCCTGACCTCAGTCACTCTCAGTAGTACCTCTGTCTTTGAGTGAGCAGGTGAAAACCATCTGGCAGGAGTAGGAGGGGAATTTCTGGGGAAGCTTTAATCTCAACATAATGCAAAATACTCACATGCTCATTGTTTTTTTTGTTTTTTTTAGCACACTGTAGATATCATTATTATTATGGTTAATTGGTCATAAATTTAATATCTAATTCCCCCTTAATCCCTTATCAAGACACAACTCTGAGCTTTTCAGGATGTTTGCAGCTTTGTGATTTCATTTCTTCCCAGTTACATGTTGTTTTGGTTTCAACAATTTTCATTGAGTTTTTTTTTTTGCTTGTGCTGTTTAAGACGTGTTAAGATATGTTACAAGTACTCTAAGCATTCTTGCTTCATCAAATAAATAAACAGATATAACTGTTGCATCAGATTAATAAAACTATAAACTCATAAAGGCAGTTTCTTCACGCCAGGTTCAAATATTAGCCACACACACATACAGACACACTCCCTCACCATGGTAGATATCCTGGAGGGAGCCTCCTCCACAGAACTCCATACAGATCCACAGTTTATTAGCTCTGCAGATAGAAGAGGGAAAGTTATTTGTTATCTGCTGTATCTATGATTAATAAGAGAGTGAGAGTAAACACAGGAACAGACAGCTTACCGTATGTAGCTGCCATAATAGGCCACTATGTTGGGATGTTTGCAGCTCTTCACAATGACGATCTCCTGCTGGATGATAGAAAAATCATCCTCTGTGGAACCAGACAGAGACAGAAGATGCATGTTTATTATCATCATCACATCAAATATGAACACATGTATAGTCAGCCGTTATACGTATACCAGTTGACATATACATAGATCAAAACCAGTGCCTGTTTTCAGCATAATTACTTATTCCTGCACAGTTACAGTGTCTGTGTGTGTGCATGTGTGTAAGAGGCATATCCATTAAACTGACTAAGCTAGAAAATGATGCATGCTGGGCGATCCTGGAAAAACATTTTCTCTGCAGAAATGCAAACATCAGACTAAACCCTCTGAAAAGCTCACAGAAATAAGATAGATGATCACTGGTTTTGATTGTCAGTGATAAGCTAGTTTGTGACTAAGGTTGTCGTTGAGGTTGTCATCATTGCTGACTTTACTTGCTAATCTTTTCAGATTATTTATGAGGCTAAAGGAAGTACAAGTTCAAGTTTTATAGCAGGAAAAGGGAAAAAGCTTCTGAAATGTGAAACGTCTCAATCCAGGAGTCTCAAAACCTGCTATCAAACTGATCCTGTTCCTCTAGAACGTCATTACGAAGTGTCTTTCTGCATGACGTCACACTCACAGCTGTGGGCTTTAATAAGGAGCGTATATTAATGCACAGATGAGCTGTGATATGTCCACCGACATAAACATCTGTAACCAAAGATACTGACAGATGCACTTCTCACTCAGCTGTTGTGTTATGTGCTGCTTTCCTGTTAATACAAATAAATATACCCGAAACAAGAAGCACATACTATAAAACTTATTTCCTATTAAGATCTTCAAAACTAGGCCTGACACATTTGAAACGTTCGGAAACATTGACATCTCACACGCGTTTGTACTGCCCGGCCCATGGGCAGGTCAGTGGGGATTAAAAGGTTAAGGAAATGAGTTATGTTTCCATTTCTTGCATGAATAAGTCTGCAACAAGAATTTAAAACAGAATAACAGAATGAATGAGCTGGGTGTCATAGCTTTGAGTTGTATGATTTTTGTTGCTGTGCCACTGTGGGAAATAATGACTCTCTCTTTCTCACTGTGTGTGCGCCTAGCTCTGCCTTTTAGCACTTACTGCGGTGTAATGTTTTGTTAAAACCTCCTGTAATGGAATCATAATGAGTAAAAGGTGGTAATTATGTTGCCTTAAAACAAGTTTAGGGACTTTCATCAGATGAAGCTGAGACTATGCACTTGCCATAAGCAGCATGCGTCTTACACTTGTCCTCGGGCATGAGTAGGACACCTATAGGTCTGTTTCTCAGTGCCTTGTCTTAACATTTTAGCCTCTGACGTTGCAGAAATATTACAAGAACTAAATGAAAAATGTAGAACACCGACAGATTAGAGATGTGGCTAAAGGAAATGCAAAGATGAACATGGGTTCTGCTGTTTCCTGATGAAATCAAATGAAAAGAGAAACTTTCACCTGGCTCCATCTTGATGACCTTGATGGCTGCCAGCTCTCCGTTCTGCTTGTTACGTGCCTGAAAACACAAGAACAGAAAAAAACAGCTTAACATTTTCACACTGCAGCTGTTAGTCATTTGATGACAGTACTACGTTGTAAGTGTGGTGTATTTGAGTTGTGTTTTTTGTCTGTGTGCCAGCAGAGCTTCATTTGCATGTTTTCTGTCCAGATCAGTGGAGTGCAACAAACAGCCCTCCTCACCACTGTGACATCAGGGACACAGAAATACATGTACGGAAGCTCAAGCTCAGACACACACATGCACACACACTTACAGCATGTATTCATGCACACAAGAAGGCAAACATATACGCACATGCTGACCTTTAGGGTGTGATACCAGATTGTGGTGACACTTCTCTTTGCTTATCCACATTATTTATAAACAGAAACCACAAAAAAGATAACTTCCTTATAAAGATTTTCTAAATGGGTCCGAGTTGATAGTATGTTCTGTACTGCACTCTATTATCTTTATAAGGATCGTGGTACAGTATAGAGCTGAGAGAGACATTTCACATCACACACATAGAAGGTGCTGCCAAATATCAAAATATGCCACTGTTAAAATGATCCGTTCTAATGTTGTAAGTCAGGGTACTTTACCCCATCAGAGTTCGTATATCATTATTTACAAGATTCAGCTTTAGAGAGATTGCAGCTTGGCTGGGGGCACCTCATGCTTTATTGTTCATCATCTTGGTGACTGATTGGTTCATTTTCTTGGTTCATTTGTGTGTTCATTGCTCATGTTCATTCTCTCAGCCAGAGACTGATGTGGCTTATTCTAACACTGGTTAATTAATCCTACTCCCACTTTACGGAGGATTTCTAAATTAGCTTGAGCAGCAAGAGGCAGAATGGCTCAACAACAAAGACAATGGTCGCTAACTAAAGAAATTCAGACTTCATTAGCAGAAAATCAAAGTTAAAAGACGTCAAAGTCCCTACCCACACTGTCTGACTGACAGGTGGTCACCAAGGAAACACCACAGCACTAATCAACAAAGATCAACAAAACAAGAAAGAAGCAATGTTAATTTGCAGGTAGACAATTAACAATAAGCTCCTCTTTTCATTGGGTAGAAAGGCTCTTCAGTGAGGGGTGAAGACTTCACACATATAGGCCTCAGTCTGAGATATGACGGCCCACCCACCTCTTAAAAGGAAACACCCATTCACATTTTCTCCCTCCTGAAATAGAATAGTCATAAGTGTTCTCTATCGGTGAGGGCAGAACAGGTAGTTTACAGTGACAATGGAAACTCCACTGCCTCAGAGAGGGAGTTTTAAAAACAAGACACATGGACATTTGATGGGCACTTTTGTCCAAAGCACCAAATATGGTCAAAAGTCACTCTGTCAGGCAGAGTGACGGGAGGGTTGAAACCTCAACACCATCCATAAACTATAAGCATAAACCATAAGCATAAACTACTAGATAATGTATATAATATTTACACATACACGTGTCCTTCACACTCATCTTAAAAGAAGGATTCTTAAGATACAAATTAAATGACAAATACACTTTCCCTGAAGGAAAAGAGAACTTTTTAAAGACACGACCAGACAGCAGGCAGTGGCCGCCGCCACTGTCAAAGCATTACATTCATTTTGTCGGAAAATTAAAACCACCGTCAAATAAACTGTAATGGAAGCTGACACTTCACGGGTGGAGATGTTATAATGCTAGTGGTGTTCTGTTGCTCAACCAAAAGTCGGGCCTTTGATTTGACTTTGAAATGGCACAGTGGAAAGTCAGGGTGTTGTGGTCACAGTGGAGGGTGGTCATAAACAACAGACCCTTTATGAGAGACATTTTTATTTCGCTTTCCTTATGTAACCAAAGCCAAAGCCTAACGCTGTCATTTCACAAACAGAATCACACACAAAAATTTTTTTCTCATGTTCCCCTTGTACTGTCAGATAGTTTTGATTTTACATGCTGAGGTATTAAAATATGTCTCTGAGAGTACCGTCATGGCCCCAATATAGTGGAAGTGAATAAAATTTGGTTGTGACAAAGCTCTGAGTAACAGCTTTAACAAATTTGAGTAACAGCTTTAACAAATTTAAAAACTCAACAGGAATGTGTCTTCCCAAAAGCAATGTCCCTATTATTCAGGACAAGACACTAACCTCTTTTGTTCTTTGGAACTACTTTCAACTGAAGAAGTCCCTTTGAAATGAATCCAGAGTTATTTTTCCTGAATAGAGATGTTGGACTGCTGAGATCCAGATATTAACTAAAACTCAACCTAAACATAAAAACGGGGCCAGACTGGCATAATAATTCAGGCCAGGAAATTTAACATCAGCCCAGGCCCACAACAGACTATGTGTAGTGTAACTGCTTTGTTGAGAAAAACTTTTCTCTTTGTTGTTTCATCATAGTATCATAGCTTTAGCTTGTGTATGTGTCTTCAGTCTCAAGAGTTAGTCAATTGCTCCTCCATAATTAAGGCTACAGGAATAAATATTCATATTTGTTGAGCACGTCTAGGGTCTTTTAGAGTGTTTGTTCTGCACCTGGTAATTTCTCAGCTCTGAGCGAACTTGTGTTGAACATCATGAAGATCTGGTAGCTCTGAGTAACTGGAGGTACTTCCACCTGACAGAAAAGTACAGCTCTTCTCAATATTATTTCCTAGCATGCACAGACCATGATGCCATTTACAAGTTTTTTTTAAGACTCAGCTCCAGGAGTGTTTTCGTAATATTATGACATGCTGATTGAGAGTTGCCCTGCTAATATGTTTTGATTTTTTTAACACTAACCACATCCCTTGCTCATGAACAAATGTGTAATTTCAGCACTTTCCTTCAGTTATCTTCTCTTTTTAATGTGCTCGCTCCCGGCTATGTATTTTCTGTTTCTCTTGTTCTCTCTTTGTCTCTGTCCATTTTTTCTCCACACTGCTCGGCCACGTGCGCTCCAGGTTTGATGACAGCAGAAATCATGCCAACAGGTTAAAGCAAGCAGGGGGTGCTGATGATCCACAGATCACAATAATAGCAATTGCTGGCTGTTTTTTTTTTGCATTGATTTAAAGCATTTCGTTTTGTATTTTTTAACACCTTTTCAAAAACCGTAAAAATTCTCAGCGTGCACCCAACAGCCAGTCTGGGCCTGAATGAAAGATAAGGTTTTTTTGCTATTTAGATGAACTGATCTTTTAACTTTGAGCCTGACCAAAGTTGCTTTACTTGCCTGAATTTGAACCTGATTTTGACTAGAAATACTTCACAACAAACTCTTGACAATCTCAAAGCATTTTAGTTAGCAGTTACCCACTAACACATCCAGCAGACACAGAGTATCCCATCAGAGTCGCGTCTTTAGTCAGCAGAGAAAATTACAGTAATTCCTCCTCCAGGTCTAGTCTCCACAACCAGACCCTTGTTTACTTTGAATACCTTACACCTGGAACACACGACGTCAGTGTCAGGCAGTGTGTTCTCGCCATTACAGTTCTTTACATATACTTGACCTCTGTGAGCTTGTATGTGTACCATGAGAGTCACAGTTTACGTAGCTACTGTATGTGCTGGCTGAAAACACAGAGAAATGAATTAAACACAAATAAAAGCGACTAAGAAGCTAGGTGTTAATGTTCTCTAGGTTTAGTTCTGAAAGTGACTCTTTCAAAGACGACCAAGTCAGTATCAAAAATATCACTTCATGCTGTTAGACTATGTAGATTTGTTTACCATGGCATGCCTAATTTGTCTTGCACACTGTAATCCCTCCACCGTGCATGAGAGTTTTGCACAGCTCTAGACAGCAAGGTGTTCTCTGTGTGATCAGTGGAGGCTGTAAACTGCACAGGACTTCACAACAGTCTGATGTCTTCTGTGAAATGTGTGTCTGAGAAAGTTTAGTCATGCTATCATTACAGAGCAGATTACATGAACATGTACAGTATCTTGTTGGATATTATTACACAACACTTCTGGTTAAAAATGAGACATACACAAGTTTCATAGAAGGTAAATATCTTCTGGGAAGCAGTAGAACCTGTCTAGTCATATCATGTCTGTACTCACATGTGAAGTACAGTAGAGACAAACAAAAGCAGTTAGTGGTTGAAAGGCAAGTATAATGACAGCAACAATGACAATGGAAACTCCATTCATTTGAAAGAGTCTGTGTGTGTGTGTGTGTGTGTGTGTCAGTGTGTGACATGACAGAGGTCACTGAGAGGAAAGACACCCAACAAATCATCAGTAAACAACCAAACACACACACGAGTTTAACATCACAGCGGAAGTTGCGGCCAATCCACAGCAACATTTCCATCTTGAAGAGTGTATTCACTAGTTTCCTCTGATCACTATAAGTAGGGGTCTTTCCTTTCATTGACCTCTGTGATGGCACATAGAGACAAGATAATAACTAACATCATAATACTTGGATTCGTTGCTAAAGCCACTGGAAACCAGTAGGTTTAATCACGCTTACAATCCACCTCAACAAAAACAAGAAAGAAGATGAAGGGAAATGAAGAAGTGGACCCTGCTTACTTCCTCTAACTATAAATCACTGAGATTTGACCTGTTGACATGAAAGGTCACAGTGAGAAGGTAAAGGGACTGACTGATAACTGAGACATCATAATGGTCCACACAGGAAATCCCATCACAATGCATTCGCTTTAAAGGGGCTATTTGTAAGTTTTATCCGCCCCTATCTGGTTAGCATGCTAACTTCATCAGAAGAAAAGAAGTGATAGGAGCAAAACGAGCGTCAACACTGATGTTGCTTTCTACCACTGGAGACAGCTCATAGTAAATAAAGGAGTGAAGTTTGATGCGGAATTCACAAAGTTTCTTCTTGACTAGTAGTAAACAGCTGTTAATGCTAATGTATCAATAGCAAAACTAACAAATAGCTCCTTTAAAGACTGTTGTGTTTTGTCCTCTTTGTCCTATTTCAGAATTGTTGGATAAAAAAACAAAAAAACTAATCTAGCTAGTTTAATAATACCAACAGACGCAATGCAAAGTGGTTTA